ATTAAAACAAAGAAAGGCTTGTTTAAGCTTTGAAAATCATATTATTTATTTAGTACCAAAATTTAAAACTAAATAACATGTACTAAATAAATCTTTTTTCAAAATCTTGATCAAGTTTATTTAGCTTTAATGTTTTGTCATTTCAAAATAAAGATCAATTCAATGCTAACACAAGTTTCCTTTTAAACAAAAGATTGTTCAGGACCAAGAGATTATTAAACCAAATTCTAGTTTTTCACTATCTACTAATAAACCAATGGTAAATGATGATTTTCAACCTAAGAGTAAAAGAACAAGAGTTGAAAAAGATTTTGGTACTAAGTTTTATGTTTATAATGTAGATGATACAATTTCTTATCAAGAAGCTTTATTTTCTAATGATTTTGAGTTTTGGAAAGAAGCCATTAATGATGAAATGGATTTTCTTATTTCTAATAAAACTTGAAAATTAGTTGATTTACTTGTAGGTTGCCACACTATAGTTTGTGAATGGGTTCTTAGAAAAAAACTCAAACTTGATGGAACAATAAATAAATATAAGGCAAAGCTTGTTGTAAAGGGCTTTAAACAAAAAAGAAGTACTAATTTTTTTTTTTACTTTTTCTCCTATTACTAAAGGAACATCCATCAGACTTTAAATAGCTATTGCATCAATTTATAATCTCATAATTCACCAAATGGATAAGAACATCCATCAGATTTTAAATAGCTACTGCATTAATTTCTAATCTCATAATTCACCAAATGGATGTCAAAACAACTTTTTTAAATAGAGACTTAGAATAAGATATATACATAGAGCAACTTGAAGGTTTTATGATCCCTGGTCAAGAAAATAAGGTATGCAAGTTAGTTAAATCTTTATATAGTCTTAAACAAGCTCTTAAGTAATGGCATGAACAATTTGATAAATGCATGATAGATAATGATTTCGAGTCTAGTTAATGTGACAAATGTATTTATTTTAAGTTTTTTGATAATTATCATGAAAGATCTTGGTGAAGCTAACTTAATACTTAGTATGAAAATTATTAGAAATAGTGAATATATTTTACTTGATTAGTCTCATTATATAGATAAAATATTAAAAAAATTTAATTACATTGATTGCAAGCATTTGACTACTCCATTTTTATCTCATGTAAGTTTATTTCCTACCATTGAAGATAAAGACATTGTTAATCAAGAAGAATATGCACGAATAATTAGTAGTATGCGTTATGCTTATGATTGTGCTAGACCTGATATAGCATATACAATAGGTATTTTAAGTAGATTCTCAAGCAAGCCTAACATAGAACATTGGCATACACTAAATCATGTGATGAAATTTTTATGTGGTACTAAAAGTTATGTATTATGTTATAAAAAATAACATGCTATCCTTGAATGTTCTAGTGATTTTGATTGGAATACACTATTAGGTGATTCTTTATCCACAAATAGGTTACATTTTTACTTTAGGTGGTAGTGCTATTTATTGGAAGTATAAGAAAAAACAAATCATTGCAAAATCCATGATAGAGGCTGAGCTAATTGCCTTAGCTTTGGCAAGTGAAGAGGCTAGTTGGTTAAGAGATTTATTACATGAAATTCCAATATAGGAAAAACCAATACCACCTATCCTAATTCATTGTGATAGCACTACTACAATTGGTAAAGTGCATAATTGTTATTATAATGGTAAATCCATATCTATTAGAAAGAAGCACACTATTGTTATTACAACGATAAATCCATATCTATTATAAGGAAGCATACTATAGTGAGGTCTTATTTGAGTAATGGGACTATAAGTGTAAATTATATTAGAAGAAATGATAATCTTACTAATCCTTTAACAAAAGCTCTAGCTAGAGAAAATATCTATAATACATTGAGGGGGATGAGACTTTTGCTCAAAGAATTTAGAATCTTCTATGAGGAAACCCAACCTAATGATTAAAGATCCTAAAAGTTAGGTTCATTGGGAAAAACTAATATTAGAGAGGTCGTTTGGTGAATGATACATTTTTCAAGGCTTTAAACTCATTTATCCATCCCTATGATGTAAATGCATTTATCTTGTAACATTTTAGAAGGTTGATTTTTTTTTAAAACAAATCTTAAAGAAATCTATAGCTCATTATAAGTAAGGTGTATTAGTTATGGGAACACTCTTGATAAATTTCACCTTTGTGGATGTTGGAGTAAGGCCACTCCTATGAAGCTTGTTTGGGCAAGTTTCTATATCATTCACTAAAACCGGGATCAGGCATAAAGCCATAATGTGCTAGCTCATTAAAAGCTCATGAATATCTAAATTATTATGTGTGTAATACAATTTTTATGTTTCTTTTATAGTCAAAGTTCAATGTGAATGGCATACTATTGACTATGAAACAAAAAAAAAAATTTACTACTACACTAAGTAAGGTTTAATGCAGTTGCACACCTTTATCATGCATAATAATTCATCTATATCCAAATCTTAAAAAATGATGAATAACATTTGTTATAAAGCTTTATTATTAAAATAAAGGAAGGGATTGTTATATATATTTTAATAATAAAAATTGTTAGTATATATTTAATAGTATGTAACTCCTATCTAATAAAGTTTCTTTAACTCATAATAATACTAGCCGTTAGGAAATATTTATTATAAATTCAATTATGATCGGTTCTAAAAATCAAATAACATAACAATCTATTCTATTCACTATTTCTGTAAACCATACATAGTTACATATTTTTTAATTCTTGGACAGATAAGGTGTTCAGTTTTTTTAGCTTTATTACTCTACCGTTAGTGCAGAATTATAGAGTGTATTACAAATATATAGCTAGGCTGTTGTATCCTAGAGACGACACACTTTAAGACCTTGTTGTGTCGATTGATACAATCTCGCAAAAATTTGAATCATCTTAAAGAAAAAGAGATATTTGTGCCTCAGTCCAACTTTTCGTACTATCAATGAAATCAATCTATTGTCCTTTCGTTCATTTTTTTTGTTACTAATATTTTTCTATTAATTTTAGTTTCTAGAAACAACATTAAATATCTTATTAAAAATCAAATCTTAATTCCTTTTATTTATTTACACAATATTGTCATATAAAAAATTCTATAAAAAATACTATGCAATAATATTAAATTATGCAAAAAAAAAAAATCATGCAAAGATCATAATAAAAATATCATGCAATAAATCATAAAAAAACATCATGCAAAAATATATTATAAATAATGTAAATTAATAACAAATCATGTAAATAAATTAGATTCATGCAAATATATATTATAATCATTCATGCAAAAAATATCATAATAAAAATCATGCAACTAAATATCATATGAATCATGCAAAAATAAACTATAAAAATCTTATCAAACTTTCCTTCTTTTCCTCATCATTTTTTAACTCAATCACAGTTAAAAACAACAAAATAAAAAACAAAACAAATAGAAAAAAATAAGGAAATAAACAAAAAAAGGGAAAAAATCGGGTCACTTGCAATTGTCAAACAGGTCGGGTCAAGATTCACAGATCTGGGTCAGGTTTCCAATTGGAGCAACATGCGGGTCAAACTTGGTTCTTCTCCAGTTCCTAACGCTGCCATTTTTGAGTTTAGAACAAAACCTCAAATATTAACTTGTTCTTTCATTCTCCATTCTCTACTTCTCTCTTTACAATCTAAATTCTATGCCCTGTCTCTACCAGTTTTAAACTCAAGAACAAAACCCAGAAATCAGTTAAAAAACCACCAACTACTTCACCGTTGATCGCAGGCTTTCGCTACTTGCTGGTGTCTTCGGTGATCGTGAAAGCCCAAACAACCCATTTAACAAATCTCTTCTTCCTTCTTTTCATGTTCTTTCTAAAACGCTAAAGCCTAAAAATTCGTTTCACAGACCAACGCTTCGGCCTCCATCGATCACCGATCGAACACAAGCAGCTACCACCCAAAATCTTCACTTCCAAATACTCTTTCTTGTCTTAACGTCCCATAAAAAATCCAATGGATTCAAAACCTAAAACCCAAGACCTACGGCATCTCTCCACCGAAACACCACTGCCTTTCGCTGTGTAATTGTGCTTTCTTGCTTGCTGTGATTTTGTTTCAATTTTCTGTTTATTTGCTTGTTTTCTGATTCCGAGTGTGTTTGAGTTTATTGCTAAGTTGATTTTGACGCTGTGTTAAATTGCCTTGTTTTTGTGTCAAATACTCGTTGCCTTCCATTGTTGGTTGATTTCTGGCTATTTGCTATTGAGAATTGCTTCTGAAAATTAGGCTTGTTTGATCTGCTAAACTTTTCTTGTCTGATTATTGATTAAGGATTTTGGTCCCTTGAATTTTGTAACTATCTTCCCCTGTCGAATTCCTTTGCTTTGTTTGATCTTCTGTCTTTTGTTTCAATCAGTTTTTTTTTCTCAATGGATTCAGTTTTTACTTGTTAAAGCTCTTAATTGCTTCTTGTCTTGCTTTTGATTTTGCAGGTTGGCTGGAAATTGAATTCAAATTTATTTAATGTAGATATTTAATTTTGTTGAAAATATTTTATATTTTATAATTTTAATTTTAATTTATTTTTATAATTAAATTTTGATCATTATTTTTCAAATTAATTGTACAATTAATTTTTAAATGATTCGATATAGACTCATATAAAAGGTTCAATAAAAATTTAATTGACGATTCATTTTTAAAGCTTGTTAACGGTTCATTGTTAACTATTAAACGAAAATTTAAATAAATAAAAGTATAAAAAATATCAAATAAAAAAATTAAATAAAAATATATAAAAATATAACAATACAAAAATATAATAATAAATATAATTAAAATAATAAAGAATAAAAAATATAAAAATAATAAAAAGAAGTGGGCTTGGCCCAAAATTAAATAGAAGTCCAATAGACACAAATCTTAGCCACAAAGTTAAGCCCAAATTAAACTGACGGTTTTTAAAGCCCAAGATAAGGCCATTGAAAAAGGCCCATCCAATTCGGCCTGGCATGGGCATATCACGCAAGCTTAATGTGAGGAAAATAAAAAACTGAAGGGAAGTTGGCGTGAGTTGGGTGATGTGGAAACAAGGAAATTGTTTAAGTCTGCCTGGAGTTGTGGCGTGAGGCATGGGCAGGCAGCAAACTAAAACAGAAGAAGAAGAACGTGGAAGAAAGTGGCGGCAAAAAGAAAAACTGGAAGCACAAACTAGGGAAGAAAAGGCGTGACGCAGAAAACTATGAAGCAGCGGCAAGCAAAAAAAAGAAACGGGAGAAGAAACAAGCAGAAAACTCAGAAAGGAAAAGAAATAAAAATCTGGGAAGAGCAGGAAACAGGGAGGGCATTCAGCAAGAAAAGGAAACAACAAAGAGAGAGCAAAAAAAGGGAGAGAAGAGAGGCTGGAACGTGAGATTGAAACGTGAAACAAGGGAGAGTGAAGAAGCAAACTGCAGCGAGAAGAAAAAGCAAAGAAAAATCAAAGTCTGTTAGGAAAAATAAGCAGAAGAAGAACGCGCAACAAAAAAAAAAGGCAAGAAAAGAAACCAGGAGGCAGAAAAATAAAAGGGACGTGAAGCAGAAGAGAGCTGGCACCAAAACTGAACCAGAAAAAAAGAAAACCAGAAAACAACAGCAGTGGAGCAGCGAGCAGCAGACCTAAACGTGAGCAAAAACCAAAAACCAGGAAAACAAGTGCATGGGCAGGCAATAACGTGGAAGGAAACTGACAAAAGACGCAAAAGGAAAACTAAGGCAGCGCAGTAGGAAAAAATTCAGACCAGAAGAAGCATAGGAAAAACGAGATACGATTTGTTGTCCATGCTTTGCATTTTATTTTGAGTTATGCTTCTTGTCTCATGGGTTAGTTTGTTTCCTTGCATGCGGGGTTGCTGTCATGGCAAAGCTCCTTATTATTTTATGTTTGCTGGTCTTTTTCTATATGTGTGATCTTGGTGAGGAAGCTTAAAGCTTCATTTTCATGCATGTTTACTGGTCCAAAACATGTATATTACATAGCCATAGTTTGCTATAAGGAAAGGGTCCATAATAGCCATAGGCGAGTTAAAATTCCCTTCTTAAACTGGTCATGTTTTGCTACATGGAAGGTCTTCACGTTGTATTTCTTTTGCCCATTGATTGCTTGCTTAAAGAGGCTCAAATCCTTCATCGTTTGTTTTCGTTCCCCACCTGAAATGCATATATTAGAGCATAAAGCTCCATCATTTTGGGACTTTTGTGTATTATATTGAAGGCTTGCATGGCTTTTCTGTACGTGGATAGAAGGTTTTACATATTTAGTTATATATATTGGCCGAATATGAAACAGCTACTTTTGCCTTTTGTTTTAGCTTAGGTCTCTTGTTTCGAGTTCGTAAACATTACTTGTGAACGGACCACCAAATTTGTCCTTGTTATATCCATACATATTTCCTTATGTAAATTTAATTTTAGTTTAAAGTTTGTGTAATTTTAATTCCTTTGTAATTAATATGTTTATTTTAATTTTCCTATGATTTAATTTTATGTCTTTTTTATGCAACTCATCTCCATGCACTTTAAATTTTAAAAGAAAATAAAAAGATGATAATAATAATAATACATTCTTTTTAAAATATAAAAAATCTTAAAATCTTTGCTTAGATGTTGGAGGATTCAAAATCGAATTAAAAAATAATAAAATAATAATTTCATCTAAATGTTAGGAAATTATTAAATAATAAAAGTGAAATAAAAAAGATAAATTAATAATAATAATTTTTTAAATAAAAAAGGAAAATATAAGAAATAATAATAAAAATAAAATACGACAAATATAAAAATTCATTTATTTTTTTAGAGAAATTATAAAAAACATATTTACTTCAAAAGTCTGCTTAGATGTTTGAAACTTTTTAAAGAGATTCGAAAATTAGATAAAACCCTAAAATGAAACCCTAAAAGGAACTTTAATTAAAACCCTAAAATCTTAAAATGAAACCTTAAAGGGAACCCTAGTTAAAATCCCAGAACCTTAAAATGAAATCTTATGTGTTTGGTTTGCGAAATCTTGGATAAATGGAGAAAGTGTGATTCTTAGGAAAGTGTGATACCTAGGTTTTTCTTTCATTTTCAGGGCATATTGTATTCAGATTCACTCGTTTGATTAGAAAAAATCTACGTATATTAATTCTTATATAATTACCATAATCTCCTTAACATATATGACGGTAACTTTTCATTAATAATAAATACCCAAATGACAAACGATGCCTTCAGCAGTAAATGAAGACAAATATTTTATTTCATTGCTATTTTTATTTATAAAATATTATCAATTGAGGCGTTTCACACTTTTTTAAGTAACAAAAATTGATAGGGAAATGTTCTTTTAATTTATTTAAAAAAGGATCATTTAAGGCATTTTCTATACAGAAAATGCCTTACATGATCATTTTTTAAATAAATTAAAGGATTATTTGAGGTATTTTTTGTATAGAAAATGCCTTAACTAATCTTTTTATAAAAAAATAAAAGGATTAATTAAGAGGTTTCTGTAAAGTAACGCCTTAAATAATTATTTTATTTTGTTCTATAAATGGATCATTTAATAAATATCTTTTCATTTATAAAAAGATTATTTAAGGCGTTTCTGTACAGAAAATGCCTTAAATAATCCATTTATTAAAATATAAAAATACTTTTATTATAAAAATATAAAAAGATTATTTAAGGTGTTTCTGTACAAAAAATGCCTTAAATAATCACTTTATAAAAATATAAAAATACTCCTATGTTATAAAAATATAAAAAGATTATTTAAGGTATTTTTGTACAAAAAATGCATTAAATAATCTCTTTATAAAAATATAAAAAGATTATTTAAGATGTTTCTGTACATAAAATGCCTTAAATAATCACCTTATAAACATATAAAAGGATTATTTAAGGTGTTTTTCATATAGAAATGCCTTAAATAATCATTTTATTAAAATATAAATGGATCATTTAAGGCGTTTCAGCAAATAAATGACTTAAATGATCATTTTAAAAGGTTCATTCCTCGTTCTTGAACTTTGACAAACTAAATGGCTAATACAATGAATGATAAAAAGCTGTATTGTGTGTAAATCCCTAAACCCATCAACCCATTAGGTTTGCCTTTTGGTTTCTTCATCTCTTGTCACCGTCAACCGTCAACCACTCAATGTTGTCGCACCTTTTTTTACCCTTATATGCATATTTTATTTTTTTGTACTATTTATATTCTTCGATATAAGTATTTTTTTTTCTTTGCTTACTATATATATTTATTTTTTTTGGTGTTTTTATGCATATTCCACCATCACTTACGTTGCCCAACGTCCCTTCATTGCATACATGGTGTTTCCTTGTTGTTTGGTTTTAGTATTATGGTTTGCCGAATAGTTTTGTGAAAATTAGTTGTTATATTTGTACTCATCATTGTTTTGCATGAAACTCTTATTTAAGGTGGGAATTACAGTATTGCTTGTACCCATAAAATATTATTGATTGTAGGATATCTTATGTATATTGGTTTAGTAACTGTAGTGGATATTGGTTGTTTTTACTGTGTGATATTTAGAGAGACAGTTTAGTGTATTTCATATAACTATGATCAAAATTACAGGTATTATGACATTCAAAGAACATATATCTCTTGCTACTAAAGATGAAGAAAACACACGCGTAGTAAATAAAAAAAAGAAAAGTAAGGGGACGTGGTAAATAAATTAAAGCGATTGACATAAAAATTTACATTAACTTCAATCAAAGTGGGCAATCTATGTTGGATAGAGCTGCCAAGTTGGCTAGTTACATTAGAGCGGTCGTCCGTAGTAGTATTTCTATTACGTACCATAATTGGCAAATGGTTCCTGATGATAAAAAAGATCGTATATGAGAGTCGATTATGATATGTTTAATAAAAAAATCCAAAAATTTGTTAATTTGGAAATTTAATTGAAATAATGTGTTCATACTAATTGTTTTAAATTTATTAGGAACAATTTGACATCCCAAATGAGTATAAAAAACTTGTGTTACAATTGACTGAAAAAGTATTCAAAAACTTTAAGAGCAGATTGACAACCCAATATATTTTACTATTTGTTGATAATAGTGATTATTCGCTGATCCTTTTTCGTCATATGTAGATGTTATCAGTTATTAAGAGTGGATAGATTTTATTCAAGATCATTTATCAAAAGAATTCTCAGTATGCATACCTAGTATATTAATTATTTATAATATTTTGTGTAATATATTTGATATCTTAATATATGATTTATGTTATTTCTTTTTATTTTTTTCAGAAAATCAAAGAACAACAAAAAAACATTTAGGCTAAACAAATATATCAGCATCAGACATTGAGAAAAGGTTATGTAAATGTCAAGCATGATCTTGTAAGTATTAACACGCTTGTTTTATACTCATATATGAATATTTATGAACATTCGTTTAATAAATTTTGATTTTTATATTGCTTTAATTTTTCAAGAATATTCTAGCTCTGGAATCAAAGTTCCTAGATAGCATGTGTGAAAACAAGGACATATGCGAAAAGATGGATTGTTCACAAATGAAGCAACCAAAGAAATGGCTAAAAAGATTGTATGTATAACTGATCAATTTATCACATATAATTAGCTTTATGCTTGTACGCATGACTATATATTGTATAACTTTGTTGTTACACACTATCTTATTATGTTTCAGGATGAATTTACTACTAAATTTGAATCCAATGAATTGCCAACCAGTTATAGTGAAGATCCCTTGTCTTTAGCATTAGGATCGAAAAAAAAGACATGGTCGAGTTCATCGAGTTGGTAGATTTATGTTACCATTAAAGTTCTTCAGTAATCAACCTAAACTCCCTTTAATGAAAAATGTAGAATATGAAGCAATCATTTAGCAACAACAGCAAAGAATTGATGAGCAAAAGCAATGCCTAAATGATCAACAGCAACAACTCATAGCTTTGGAGATGATGTTGGTGGCAATGCAACCTAACATGCCTAAAAGACAGTTTGTTACTATCATCTAGCAGGGACAAGCTTTCACAAATCAAGTTTGGCAACAAACTCAAACTCCAATAATAATCATTATTTTCATTTTATTTATTCACTTAATATTTATTAATTTGGTTTTAATACTTATATTTTCATTATATATTGTAACAAGATGTTGGGATTTAGAGCATGCCCTGCTGAGGTGATTATTGATATGTTATTAAATTATGCACTTGATCATTTATCTGGAGAAAACATCATTATCGTTGAGTCCAGATGATGGGTTATTTGATCATCCATCTATTTTTTACGTTAGGGAGCCTTGAGATTGATACATTTTGTATACTAGATGAAATATCAGCTTTTGATATTGTTGCTTATATGAGATTAGCTTATCAATTAATTTAAATATTCAAAGTCAATAACTATTATTCTATATTAGGGTCTATTACTAACTAGTCATGTTGATTGTTATCA